TCAGTACTGGAAAGAGCAATAACATCTTGTTTCTTACTTCGCCAGGAAATAAGGGAATCACCAAGAAATATACAATAACCTGTGGTAGACTTTCTGGTAGTTGGATCACCAGCCCAATCAGCATCAGAATATGCACAAAGCTCTAACTTAGATGTAGCAGGAAACAAAAGTGAGCGAGTGCTAGTACCCCGGAGGTACCGAAGAATCCGTAATAAGACAGCATAGTGTACAGAACGTGGGGCACTAACAAATTGACTGACAATACCAACAGCATGAGAGATATCTGGTCGAGAGATGCACAAATAGACCAACTGACCAACAAGATGTCGATATCGGGTAGGATCAGATAGAGGCTCACCGTCAGTAGAGCAAAGTTTGACATTCTGCTGGAGTGGAGTATCGACAGTTGTATTATCAGTTAACTCAGCTTGATTTAGAATATCTGAGAGATACTTCTGTTGAGACAGTAATACACCCCGCGGGCCTTGAGAAATTTCTAGACCAAGGAAATACCGAAGAGATCCAAGATCCTTCATGTGGAACTGTTGTTGCAACTGAGATTTTGCGTATTGTATACCTGTCATATCATCACCTGTAATGATCATATCATCTACATAGATGAGTAATAAAACCCTGCCACGCGATGTAGTGCGAACAAACAGAGAAGCATCTTGATGACTTTCTATAAAGCCCGCTTTGAGCACAACATCGCGAAAACACTCAAACCAAGCGCGGGGTGCCTGTTTGAGACCATAAACAGCACGACGAAGGAGACATACATGTCCCGGAGGAATATTTGACCCTGGAGGCGGTTGCATATATACGGTCTCTGATAAAGAGCCATGAAGAAAAGCATTTTTGACATCCATCTGGTATAAGGGCCAACGATGAGCAGCAGCGACCGCAAGGAGAGTACGCACAGTGGGCATCTGAGCAACAGGAGCAAAGGTCTCCTCATAATCAATACCTTGTTGCTGAGTAAAACCTCTAGCCACTAAACGAGCTTTTCGACGTTCAATGGTGCCATCAGGACGAAACTTGACCTTATAAACCCATTTACTGCCAACAAGAGAGATCCCAGGAGGACAGGGAACAATATCCCAGGTATGAGTTTGCTGAAATGCTTGAAATTCCTCAGCCATAGCTTGTCGCCACTCTGGAATTTGAACTGCCTCTTGGAAGGACTTTGGCTCAACAATAGTATGAATGGCAGCAAGAAAGTTATGAAAGATAGGTGAATAAGAAGTAACAGAAGCATACCGGGCAGGCATGACATGTGGGCGTTTGCCTCGACGAAGAGCAAGAGGAACCTCAGGCGGGGGAGATGCTGGCGCAGGTGCATGAAGATCAACAGTATTTTCTGGAGTGAGAGTTGTGTCCACAGGATATGGATTAGATGGTGTAAGAGAAGACTCAGGTGAGGAAGAGTCAACAGAAGGAGAGGGAGAGATGTCAGGGAGATCTCGAAAGGAAAATTGAGGTGAAGAAGTGGGTGATGCAGTGGACGGGGAAGCATGATCGGTAGAGTGGAGGAAATTAAAGTCATCAGAAGTAGAATAATATGGAGAATCCTCTTCGAACTGAACATGACGAGATATATGAACTCGACGAGTTGCGGGATCATAACAACGATAACCTCGATGTTCTGAACTAATTCCTAAATAAACACAAGAAACTGCTCTGGGAGACAATTTATCACGTTCGTGAGATGGCAGAAAAACAAAACATCGACAACCAAAAACGCGAACTAGATCATAACGGGGAGGATGAGTATAAACACGACTATAAGGAGTAGCACCGGAAAGAGAGCTAGATGGAGTGATATTAATGGCATGAGTCGCGGTGAGAATAGCCTCAGCCCAGAAACGACGAGGAACAGAGTAAGAAATGAGCATTGATCGGGCAGTATCGAGGATATGACGATGTTTGCGTTCAGCAACACCATTTTGCTCATGAGTGTAGGGACATGACTGTTGAAAGATAGTCCCATGAGAGGACATGATAGAGCGCATGGCAGAGGATAGGTACTCTTTGGCACAATCAGAACGAAAAACTTTAATACGAGATTGCCATTGAGTGAAAATCATAGCAGTGAAGGCTTGATAAGCAGTAAGTACGTCAGAGCGATTCTTAAGTAGGTAAACCCATGTAAAACGAGAGAAATCGTCGATAAAACTAACATAATATAAGTAGCCAGATGAAGAAGGCAAAGGAGCTGGCCCCCAAATATCAGAATGTACTAAATCAAATAAGGAAGTGGATACAGATGTACTCATTTTAAATGGTAAAGCAGTGAATTTAGCCAATTTGCAACCAGCACATGACTCAATACTAGAACTAGATGATACAGGACCAAGTACTCCAGACTGAATAAGACTCTCCAGCCTTTTATTACACACATGACCAAGTCGTCTATGCCATAAATTGGCAGGAAGCGAGGTAGAGGGTTTTGACGAACAAAGAGAAGCAACAAGAGAACGTGGACGTATGGACTCTGGAAGGTGAAGATATTCCAGAAAATACAGTTTGTGCCTCCTACGACCCGCCCCAACCGTCTTGCCCGTCTGTGGATCCTGCACAATACAAGTATCAGAAGAAAATGAGACAAACAGGCCCGCCATGCATAAAGAGCTAATAGAAATTAAATTCAAGCACAATTGTGGAGCCACATAGACGGGACCAAGTGTTAGACGACCAGATGGATCATTTTGTGGGGTAATAGAGCCATACTGAGTAATGGACAATGGTTGTCCAGCAGCTGTGTAGATAGGAGGAAGAGAGGATGAAGTAAAGACAGAGGATAAAAGTGAGGCATTACAAGTCATATGAAAGGAACAACCAGAGTCAAAAATCCAGAGATCATTCATACCAGAGACTGAAGGATTAGCTGAAGAACCAGCAAAATGCATACCAGAGAGTTGTGCGGCGGATGTAGAGGTGATATGTTGAAAAGCATCAAGTTGACGGCGAAGACTTTCAATAGCTTGAATAGTAGAGTCTGAAGTAGTAGAAGGTATAGCATTGGCCAACAATCCTGGTGTACGAGAGGGTTGAGACTGAGTGGGTCGCCGACCACGTCCAGTACCTGAGGAATGTAACTCAGGATGAAGCTTGAAGCATGTCTCAATGCGGTGTCCTTCCTTCTTACAATATTTGCAAGAGAGCTTAGATCGAGCCTGTGGAGAGGGAGCCTGTGGAGAAGTATAATTCATAACAGGAGCAGTGACAGGTACAGACAAAACAGTCTCGAGTGAAGAGGTAGGAGTGTCTGTTGACAAATTGAGTCGTGCTGTCTGCTGCCGGGTCTCATAAGCAGTGAGAGCTCCCATAACTGAGGCCAAAGTCGGAAATTGAGGCTGGTGAAGTAGTTGATCAGCCATAGTTGAATATTCAGGAAGGGACTGAAACAATTGATGCACCTCATGCCGTTCGTACCAGGCTAGCCAGTCTTCATATGTGGAATTACGTCCAGGAAGCATGGAGCGTAACTCTGTCCAAAAAGCTTGCATTTGTCCAAAATGGGACTGCAGAGATGAACTACCTTTGCGTTGTAGAGAAATGCGTTGCAGAAGATATGCCTCCCGTGCACCCGAGCACTCAGTGAAACGCTCAGTGAGACGAGTCCACATGGCCTGAGCAGAGGGAAGCGAGCCAATCTCGACAGTGAGACCAGAGCCAACACAGCGAGTGAGATAATCCATAACACGAAATTCCTGCAATTGCCACTCTGAACTCTCCTTGACATAGAGAGCACGAGCAGTCTGAAGATCGACATCACCACTGCCAGAGGCAATAGTACTGGATGAAGCAACAGTGCTGATGGACGGTGGAACTGGTCCCGTACTGGTGAGATGATCAAGCAAACCAGCGCCACGCAAGGCATTGGTGACAATGGTGGACCACCCTGCCCAGTCACTTTGATCATTGAGGGGCAAAGGTGGTTTGGGAATCTTCTCTGAAGGAGCCATAACAGCAATCTTGAGACGTTAAGATGTCGAGATGCTGTTACTAATGTCGTTCGTTTGAGGCCGAGAGACGGCTTGAAACGACGATGCCGTTAATTTGAGACCGAGAGACGGTCTTGAAACGACAATGCCGTTAAAATAGAACCCGAAGGTTAGAATGAAACCCGAAGGTTTAAAATAGAACCCGAAGGTTAGAATGAAACCCGAAGGTTTAAAATAGAACCCGAAGGTTAGAATGAAACCCGAAGGTTTAAAATAGAACCCGAAGGTTAAACGAGAACGCGAAACGCGTTAAGAGGCCGCAAAACGACAAGGCCAAAATATCTGGCAGATGAACGCCAAATAATTAAAAATAAAAAAAAAAATAAAAAATAAAACATTAAACGGCTGCAAAGCAATAAGGCCAAGATTTGGCAAAAGAACGCAAAAGCGTTAAAAATTTTATTAAAAGGGAAATAGCCCTATCTCTGATACCATGTTAAAGTAAGAGAGAGAGAGAGAATCTTGGGTAAATTTCCCTTGAATTGAATATTGAGTGTGCACATATATTTATACAAGTAGAGGAGTGTGAGGTTTGTTCTCCCAAGCAATGTGGGACTAAAACCCACTACAATACACTATTATCAACAAAATTTAAACCCTGCGTACGTTTGAAATCTGCGTATATCCAAGAAACGTCGCAATTTGTCCACGACGACGTAAGGTGTTGAACTTTATTTCGAGAGAGCGAGACAACATTCACCCACCGTATTTTTACGAAAGACGCGGCGGATGTCTGATCGATCGATAGCCTGTTCGAAAAAATTGTCATCACTAAACAGGTAATAAAGATGGAGAAAACATGCATTTAGTTGAACCTTCTTAAGGTTATATTTATATTTAGACGGAAATGATTTTTTTTTTTTTTTTGTGTGTGTGTAGATATCGCACAGAAATGAATAAATAGTCTCTTCCATTTTCTAATTTATATTTAGACGGAAATGATTTTTTTTTTTTTTTTTGTGTGTGTGTAGATATCGCACAGAAATGAATAAATAGTCTCTTCCATTTTCTTATGCATTCTCATTGAATGCACGCGGTATTCGTGGCTCTTACAGAGAGATGAAGAGAAACGAGAGTGATCGGCTGGCTGACTTTTGAGCTAAGTATGAGTAAATGCTCTTCGCTGTCTTGGCCTTCCGTGATCAGCGTCCCTCTCTATAAATCTCAGCAGAACCCAGAGACGCTTGTCTCTTGCTCCGCTTCGCTTTTACACGAGTTATATCTATACAACTTCATACAGGCTCATATCGATCTCTTCCTCTGTTTCAGCCTCGACCTCGATTTTCTTTCGAGTTTCTATGGGGAGGCCACCTTGTTGTGAGAAATTTGGAGTGAAGAAAGGGCCATGGACGCCGGAGGAGGACATCATACTCGTCTCCTACATCCAAGAGCATGGACCTGCCAACTGGAGGTCTGTGCCGACTAACACCGGTCAGTGATCACTTGCTCATAATTTGTCTTTGTAATTAGAACAATTAAGGATCCGAAATAGCCATTCGGGTCTTTTTTTTTATAAATTGTTTCTTCCTAGTTCTATATGGCTGTAGTTGTGTAAAAAGAGCTAGCTAGAGCCAAAAGGCCCTTTTGGAATTTGGTTTATTATTATTATTATTATTAAGAAATGTTAGTAAATTTGATGTTGTGACTTGTACCTGATTGTAATCAATTCTTGGCTGCGAAGTGAGGTTAAGTTTCTGATTTTCTTTTGACAGGGTTGCTGAGATGCAGTAAGAGCTGCAGGCTGAGATGGACAAACTACCTAAGGCCAGGGATCAAGAGAGGCAACTTCAGTGTTCAGGAGGAGAAGCTAATTATCCATCTCCAAGCTCTCTTGGGAAATAGGTAAAACCCAACCTTAAATTTCTTGATGAAAAGACCTTTCTTAATTGCAGCTAGACTCCAAGTATTATCACCCAATTGCGGACAGACCCCCTCCCCCTAAATACTATTGTTGCAGATAGACCCCTTGAGGGAGTTTATTTTTACTCTTTCACCCTCAGGAGGTCTATTTGTCAAAAAAAAGAAAAAAAGAAAAGAAAATGTTTTCTCTTTCTCTTGGGGGTAAAAGAGTGAGAAAAATTTCACTCGGGGTTTATTTTCAACACTAGAATAACAGAGAGTCTATCCAAAATTAATCGGCACTAGAATTAGAAGTTCTTACTTAGAATTTAATTAAGTGAATTTTTAGGAGGTCCTGGCCTGCATATTCAAATTTGGGTGCCTTTGTATCAGCTAGAAATTCTAATTGGCCCCAGTAGGTGGTCATATAATTCTTGTAACTAGCTAGTTGAAAAGATTATGAAACTACCACTTCGCCTATCTACTAAATAGCCAGTGATGCAGAGTGTATTCTCAGCTGATTTGCGAATACGTACAACGAATTTCTTGGACTATCGGCTCTTTACTCGACTAATTTCCATCATAATTGTCAAAGGAACCTATGCTTCGATACTATATAAAAATGTTCCGCACCAAAACTCCAAAGTTATGATGTGGCCAAGGGTTACAGTTTTAAAGTCTAATGATGATATCATTAACTCACTGGCTACAAATAATTAATTGGTTTGAACTTATGCATTGATGCTAATGTGATCAAAAACTGCAGATGGGCAACAATTGCATCTTATCTCCCAGAGAGAACAGACAATGACATCAAGAACTTCTGGAACACTCACCTCAAGAAAAAGCTACAGAAAGTTAACAACAACAATAATACAATATCAAACAATATTCACCAGCCAATCCCTAAAGGGCAATGGGAGAGAAGATTGCAGACTGATATCAACTTAGCCAAACAAGCTCTCAATGAAGCCTTACGCATCAACAACCCAACTGACACAATCACAAGCCCAACAAGCACTAGCCCTTCTTCTTCTTCTTCTTCTTATCCAACCTATGCTTCGAGCACGGAGAACATTTCAAGACTTCTTGAGGGATGGATGAGCTCAAGAAAGCCTACAAATTCTTTGGAGGTGTCGGAGACTGAAAGCAAGGATACTAGCTCGGGAGGCCAAGAGCCGTTGTCTTTGATTGAGACTTGGTTCTTTGATGATGGCTTAGGGGGAGAGAATAACGAAGGATTATTTGATTTGTCAGTGGATAATGTTGCTTGTGGGATGTTTTAGATTGAAATCACATAAGAGGGAGTTTGGTTTCTCTTTTGATCCTTGTTTGTTTTTGTGCAGGTTGTGTAACGGAGGTAGTGAGTGCTGTTATGCCTGACAGAAAAGAAGTGTAAATTAAGAAGTTTTATCTTAGTTTGAGAATGTCAGTAAATGTTTCTAGTTGATTTAAATGATATTTTTCTTTTGTTGGAGTTCACCGGTTGTTCCCGGTTGTTATTTTTTCCTTATATCCAGATTTTGATCATCATGTGATTTTGTGGGAGGTTAATAAATAACAGTCAGATTAAATCGTCATGAAACCAGAAATGTAGGCGCTAATAAAACAGTCCAATGATAAATCCTATAGTGCAAGGTGTATCTGCAAATTAATAACCTATAGAAAGTAACTTCTACACAAATCTATTACAAATCCCTTTTTAAAAAATGATCATATAAAAGTAAAAAAAAAAGTCTAATCACAATGAAACAAACAACTATGTAACTAGATCAACGGTAAGTTTGGTCTTCTGACCTCAACGAAGTCTACAATTATGTAACTAATTAAATGTTGGGAGGAGACACACTAGGACCACAAAGAGATATGCTAGAGAAGGATCTGAGAATGAGGGTAAATTGAACGAGATAAGACTGAACGTTGGAGGCATCGAAGGGGTTGAAGAAGTCGCATTTTCTACAAAGCAATTGGTACATGAAGAGAATGCCGAAGAGCATAAGAATGTGGCCAACTGCAATAACGAAACTCTTAGGATGAAGCTTTGGGAGATCCTGGCTACTTAAACATGCCAGAAACTCACAAGAGAATATGGAGCGCAGGGAGAACAAAGAAAATTCAAACATAAGCAAGGGCGGGCGACATATAAAAAAAGATAAAGCTGTCAGAATAAAGCCGGTCTTGCAAGCTGCTGAGGACCAAAAATTGGAATTAGATACTAAGCACACCAGGATGTTTCGAAAAAGCAAAGCAACCAGAGCCAACAAAAACTCTGATACTAATTGTGGCTGATTCAGAAAATCCCAGTAAAATCCTGAGGAGATCAGTCACTAGATCTTTAGCGCGAAAGGGAGCTCCACATGTTTTTGGCTTTGGTGAAGTAGAAGGGAAAGCAGGAAGCTTATCGTCCTTCTGACGGTCAGTACTCTAACAGGTCTAAGGGCAGAGTAACGAGAAGACTGTGTGTCTTCAGAGACATGCATTGGTTTTACAGATAAGAAGTCATTAACAAGCAAACTGCTGCAGTTGTCATTTTTGTGCATCATATCCTGGTCTATGTAACTTGAGAATATTGATCATGCAATTAAAATTTGCAGAAAATCCTAATCAACTTCCGTAAGCAGCAAATTTATGAGACCTTGATCAAGGCATGAGCTCAGAGAACCGAGTCCTGCCTGACCTCTGTCTTAGCCTAGACAAGACTTGATAGATCATTTATTCTTGTGCTATTTTATTTGGAAAAGCAATGTTAGACACCTAAAAGTTCATGGGATTAATTGTGAGGAAGAAATCATGTGCCCTCCGTTTTTTTTGCCTTAGAATTATACCAAGACGAGATTACGGTCCTACTATTTTGTGCAAAAACAAAAAAGAAAGAACATAAGATGGGAGTTTCTTAATCCTATAATTTATATATGTTGATCCTCTCATTTCCATTTTTTGTTTATATTTTATGGATAACTGCGATATCTAAAGTAAGAAAAGAACAAGTACAATTTATGGATATCTAACTATTACTTATTTAAGAAAAGCCCTTTTTTGGTATTCTACCCATATGTTAGTCATGCTCCGAGAAAATCTCAATCATATCCCAAAAATGGTATGCATAACTTCCAATAAATTACAACGTAGGAAAGACCAGTAGATCATATCACATGGCAAAATATCGCCCCTCCCCCATAGGGGAGTCTGAGTTCGATTCCCACGTGCGTCAAAGGCGCAACAATTTTGATTGTTAGTGTTAACTTAGTTGAGGGGAAATTTTGGGGGAAAAATTACAATCTAATTCATAACTATGCCCAATATGAAATAATTAACAAAACATCCACTATTTCATAACTACCTCTAATTTTTTATAATTACATACACTTTCTAATTTTATCATTTCTACACTTTCTAATTTTATGAAATACCTCTAATTTTTTATAATTACATACACTTTCTAATTTTATCATTTCTACACTTTCTAATTTTATCCTTTCTCTTGCACTTGAACTTTCTTTCGTAACTATAGTTTATACACATAGCAAAGTTGATTAGTAAGATGTTAACAATTTTTTTCTACACAAATATGTACTATATCATGCACGCATTGCATGCATCGAGACTAACTGAGTGTCTGATAGACTTAGAATTTCCCTGTAGTGAACAGTTAAACTTTATATCATGGACTACAAATCCAAATTTGACCCCCATATCGCACCCCAAAAAATATGATGATCCAAATTAGCGGAAAAAGTCATATGAAGGCGGCGTTTTACGAGAGAACCGTATAGGAAGTAAGAAGAACAAACATATGTTCCAGAACTAATCTTATATTTAACCCATAAATAGCTAAAACATCAATATACACTAACAAAATTAATTGGCATTGGGATTCCTTCCTTATTCATTTCTTTTTATCTCTCTCATCTCTTATAGAGTGTTCGTGGGCATTCTGTAGAAAACCCGTAAAATTAAATATAACATCTCCTCCTTAATTGCTAATACGATTTCCTATGAGGCTATGAGAGCGCCTACGAATTTTCAACAGGGAGATGCCGATTTTTTCGCAGAACACGAAGACAGACCAAGAAACCGACGCGCACCGATATTTTTGGGCGCTCCCGTGGCGGACTCGGTCGCACGCAGCTCTTCAAATGAGACGACCCATGGATGACTCTTTCAGAAAGGGAAACTTCAAGAAAATAAAACAAAGCAAACATTGACGAATCAACGAGAGGGTGAAAGATCGAATCATTCCCTCGGTCTCGCCGTAGCTCCTCCCTCTAATTTCCCCCAGAAGCTAAATCTAGGGTTTTCTCCCTTCTCTCTATGAACTAGACCAGTGGTCTGCTAAAAAGCTGGTAAAGATATTTCAACTCTCAAATCCTTGGATCTCCCAGTATCAAATTTTAGCTGATTTCTGAAAATTTTACGCGCTCTAGTGGAACTTTCGATTTTTTTAAGTGGGTTTATTGTCGAGCGATGCTTCAGTTGGTTTCTCTAGCTCGCACCAGTATTTTTAGTTCTTTAAGGTGCTGCATATAGGAATTTTCTTTCCTTACGTTATTCATTATCGTCTGATGAGTCATATATTGTGAGTTAAATCAATTCTTAGTAACCCAGCTTCATTCTTGTTAAAAAGGCATCAATCTTTGGAGGAGAAGCATTGATCTTGTCTCTCTCTATCGGTTAAATGTATGTTAGATTCACTTGGTTTCAAGTGGATTTGGTATGGCTAAGGCAAAAGGTTGGGGCCTAGTTTCATTTTGAAAGGGGGTCAGATAGGGAGATTGGATAAGAATGTGTAATCCAATCCACATTCAATTTCATACCGTATTGTAGATATGATAAGAGTAATAAATTGTCCCAACATTTTTTGAATATATATACCCAAAGACAACCTATTGGACATCTGAATGTGCAATATGTCAGAACGGTAATGTTGTAGAGATGGAGCTCAGAAGCAGTTATGGAAGCAGACAGATTGGTGGTCGACCGCGTTCGTGCACAGAAAGCACTGTGCGTCTGGATTGGTGGCGGTCGACCGCTACGGTCGACCGCAGAAGTTGCTGTTTTGTGGCGGTCGACCGCGGCGGTCGACCGCAGAAGTCTCTGGATTCTTGCGGGCGGTCGACCGTGGCAGTCGACCGTGATGGATCGTGGTCGACCGCCGTAGCGGTTTTGGGCTGGGTCTGTTTTCCAGACCCGTTTCGTTTGAGTTTTCTATAAATACCCAAACTCGATTCTAGGGTTTGTAAGCAAGGGGGTTTTGAGCAGATTGAGAGGGTTTTCTTTAGACTTCTATTCTAGGAGCAATTGGTGAGATCAAGAGTTGATTTGTTAAGGGTTTATGAGAGATTTGTAACCCTAGTTGTATCCCCTTGATTTTTAATAGTGAAAACTCCCCCCTCCTTGCCCCATAGACGTAGGCATCTTGCCGAACCACGTTAAATATTGGTGTTTGATTGTTTGTATTATTTTTGGTTGTGTGGTTTATCTCTCTCGGCTATTTGGTTGGATCTCGGCATAGGGGTTTCTCTCTGATACCAAGTGGTATCAGAGCTCCGGGCAACGCTTGGACTTTTTGGAGGTGTAGATCAGTTGGGAAGTTCATCTAGAGCTTCGATTGGTGATAAAGATGAGATCTTTGTGGTAAAATTTCTATTTTTTTCAAGTTGGATCTATTTCTTGTTTGTTCCGCAATTGTTTGGGTGCCTTGAGATATATGGTCGAAAAAGATAAAAGTGGGGAGGGTTCTTCTAGTTTGAAGACCGTCCAAAGTTTAAATGTTTATTCTATGAAGATAGATGTGGAGAAGTTCGATGGCATAAATAATTTTGGACTTTGAAGATGCGAAGTCATGGATGCGCTAAATGCGCAAAATTTGGAAGATACGTTGGAGTTGGACGGAAAATCGGCCGACATTGATAAGAAGGTTTGGAAGAAAATGAATAGAACGACGTGTGGTGTGATTAGGTCTTGTCTTACCCAAGATCTAAAATATGATGTGATGAATAAAACTTCGGCAAAGAAGATTTGGGAGGTCCTAGAGGGCAAATATTTGACGAAGATCGTCGAAAATCGTTTGCATTTGAAGATGAGGCTTTATCGCTTCCAATTGAAGAAGGGGACATCCATTAGTGATCACATGAACCACTACACGAAGCTACTTGCAGATTTGACGAACGTAGATGTCATTGTTGAAGACGAGGACAATGCATTGTTGTTATTGAGTTCCTTGCCCGACGAGGAATATGAGACCTTCCTCCTCACTCTTATTAATGGGAAGGCATCTCTTTCGTATAGTGAGGTCACCGCGGTCCTTGTGAACTATCAACTTCGAAAGAAGGACAAGGAGACTTTCATTGAGCCAGTTACAGGGGCATTGGTTGCAAGAGGTAGAAGTCCAAACCGTGGTAGGAGGTCACAGTCTAGAGGGGGGCTGTTTTGGGTGTGCAAGTTGATATCTTCATTGTTGAATCTATTACACGTTTATCGAT